AAATTACCGTTTGTACACATTGTGGGAAAGTTGCAGTTTTAAATTATTTTATAAAGTATGAATAATTGAATTTTCTTCCTCATGCTTGGTGTAAATGTCATATATTCCCACCACATCAAGTATATGTAATCCATTATATAAATGTAGTCGAATCAGAAAAAGCCTAACATTAGCTCTAGCTTTTTCATCAAAATTAGAAGTGTCTAGTCAAGCAAAATGAACATTTTTGGCCTATTAAAAAATATTCCCATACATCTCTGGTCAAGCCTAAGCCATCCGTGCCGTAGGCTCAACAAGTTTTCTTTTTCATTTTTCTTTGATTTGATTAGTGAAAAACTTAGAGAAATATTGAATAATGTAAATGCTATTTAAAAATAAATGTGTATGTTCGAATAGCAAAATTGTTGAATTGATTACTAATCTATTAGCATTGCGGTAACTACGTCACGAGATTACTTTTTTGGTAACATTGCTAATGATAATTTCGTAACGCCATTTCTCTTGTGTGGAAGAAAAACATTCACTTGTTAGTTAAAATTGGATGCAAAAACATTACATTCTGATTTTGTTAATAAATTTACTTGGAAAAAAATGCGGAAAAAGAAATGTAGAATGAAGAATATGTGGATTGAGGCAAGAGATCAACTTTTTGTCACAAATTTGTCTTATGCTTTTTCTTACAGTTGAATGTCAATCGTCTTCCAAGATGTAATGATCTTTTCTAGCAGTAGATGGACTTTTAACTACAACGACGAAATAGAACCATATTTTGTATTTTCTTTATGAATGAAGAACTAATGCAGTGTGAATTTAAGAATGTTGGGCAAAAATGTCGTTCACGTTTGGCGTAGATTAAAATTAAATTAAAATTTCGAGTTGAAGTCAACATTTAATTTTCATAACACATTTTATAGGATCTACAACTTTTTTTACCATGCATTTTATCAAAATTTATTAAAAATGTAATTTTTATCTACGTCTACAATATATAAAAGGAATGATTGAGGAGGAAATTTGAATACCAATTTTGCCCTTATATATTTAACTATATACTCAATATACCCTCATTTGATTTACAAAAAGAAAAAAAAAATTTAAAGGTTGCATTAATATGTTCACCTCGGCACTTAAATATTGAATTCCAAATTTTACCATTATATTTTAGCTATATGCCCTATATACCCTTATTTAACTTTAGTTTTGTTAATAATTAATTAATAACATTTTTTCGATTTATTCAACATGAAATTAAAAAATCACTTTTCTTTTCCATCT